TGACACCAAACCGAAATTGTATAGTTGGGGGGGGGTGACATTTGACCAAGTGACGCCTCTGAGTGTATGATTAAAAGGGGTGGGACAGAGGTCTCGCAAATTTTGAATGCGCCAAAAGGTTTTATTTGTGCTGTAACAGAACAGAATATAAACAGTTCTCGTAATATAAGGGGGGGGGGGTCATCCATAAATGACGTCACGCATTTTTAAAATGATTTATACCCCCCCCCCCTTCCACATCGTCAAACATCGTCAAAATAAGCCAGACTCCCCCTCCGCATCCCAAAAGGAGGTCACACCTCAGCCAACAACCCCCCTCCCACTATTCCTCAAAATTGCAGTTTAATTTTATTAAGCATCGATTTCTTTTTTATAATTTCTATTACAATTACCAAAAACAATTTTATTTAAAAAAATAAAAATTAAAACGGCTAAAATATTTAGTTTCGTACATTTCTTTGTTTTTTAAATGCAAAAGTGTAAACCCACTCCCACTCATGACACATCGTCCAAAAAAAAAACCACCCCCCCCCCCAAATCACTAGGTGTGTGACGTCACGTATGAACTACCCCCCCCCCCCCCACCCCCTAAGTAACATAAGCCTGGGCGCATTCAGGCTCTGTCTGCCCCTGAGAGAGACAAAACACTTTTAAATAAACATCTCACCATTACAATGGAAAAAACAAGTTTAAATAAACCGGGAGTGATCTCACCTAAACTTTCTCGAATATTCTTATATAAAATAACAGGGGATGGGAACTCGGGCTATAGACATGATTTTTAATCCATTTTAAATACTTAAAGTTTTAAAAATAGAATAAAATCTCTTAGACAAATTAATTGCACACCAAGTTAACGCCAAATAAAAAAGCGCATAATAGTGCGCAATATTATTAGTACTTTTAAAATTTACATTAGTTTTTTGAGAAATCGGAAGTAGCGTAAATTACTACTTCCGGTCAACGGAAATTTCTCAAAATTTAACAGAAGGTAGAGAATTAGATCTTTTACTTACATGTGAAATTTCATTTATCTATCTGAAATAGTACTCAAGTTATAGGCTTTTGAAAAATTCAAAGTAGGAAAAGTACCACTTCCGGTTATCGGAAATCGCTCAAAAGTTGATACGGATCTACGATTTTGATAAAATACTTATATATGAAATTTCATCAACCTAGCTGTAACGGTACTCAAGTTATCGTGTTTACACACGGATAGACAGACAGACACACAGACAGACACACAGACATACGGACAAGATTGCAAAATTATGTTTTTCCGTATCAGTGAGGTGTAAAACGTCGAGATTTGTAAAAATCTCGATTTTTTTTTTTTTTTTGCACGATTACAAGACTTTCTCTATAGCCTACTTCGTATATACGAGAAAGTAAAAACAAAACAACTCACTGTGTTGGCCGGCAAAGGTGTGTGTTACTCCCTCTCCTGATTGGATAGATTGGCCTGTAGAATCACGCGCTGGAGGGCCAGGTGCCTCGTGCTCCGTTTCTTACAATTCATTAAAAAGTTGCCGCTGTAAAGTTTGATTTTGACGCACTGCTGGACAGAGGAAAAGTGACGTCAACGCTCCCGAGAACTTTACCTGCTAACTTAACGGTTCTACAGTTATGTTAATCTGCGAACTCTTTAACTTTACTGGGCTACAATTATGTTTCTCTAACAATATACAATTGTATTTTTTGTATTCTCTAACTACCCACAGATCAACGAAATATAATTCTTTAAATCTAAATACCGAAACATAACAATAAAGAGAAACTGTTTACAAATATATTTAAAAACTAAAATGTCCTGAGATATTTTTATGTTTATATAGATATTTTTTTATAATTATGTAAGGTAGTCCGTATATTTAAACATTTTAAAAAAAGAAGTCTGAACTTCCATAGCTATATTTTAGTAATTTTGTTAGCGTTATATTTTTTAGTATAAGCGAAAAAAAAGTGTAAAATTTAATAAGAAAATCATTTCTCAAAACTTCCGCCTATTTTCTAATTTTAGACTTATTATATTTTTTTTTAAATTTTGGTTTTAGTTTACTCCTACGAAAGATAGCCTATATCGCAAATCGAAACGCCAGTAAACGCAGTGATACAGTAGCGCAGTACCATGCACATTTTGTGTGTCTCCATCTGCGACCAATGAGTAATTAAAGCAAGAACTTCCCCCGGCGTCCCCTCACCGACGTGAGCGCCGTTTCCGCGTGTCCGCTCGACCACCAGACGACGCTCCGTGCCCGTCATCAAGGCACACGCTTCCACCAGAGGGCAGCCACGTGTACTGGTGCTCACTCCAACCTCCCCCCACCCCCCAACTTGTGACGTCATGTGAGTGATTTGTTTTTTCTGTCAGATTTTTGAGGTTTTTTGCGCGCTGTTTTTTTTTCAAGCACCGTTTACCGTTGTGTATGCATAAAGAAAATATTTACTTACAAGATAAACGGGTGGGTCTACCTAACTGGGTCGGTCAATGTGAAAGGTAGCTTCTCGCAGACAAGAAAAGCACTTTCGACTACTTTAAGTGTTAGGTAAAAACCTGTTTACTGAGAGAAAACTTCGAAATGTTAGAGCTGCAGTGTTAATTCAGCGCTCTATAGAGACAAGAGGTACTTAAAAATTAGAAGGACGAATACCTCTTAGATGGCACGAAAAAAAAATCAAGAATTCAATCTAAAAGAAAACAAGTGAAAATATTCGAAATGGTCGAATTTCGATCCCAGAATAAAAGACAATAATTCTTTTACACACAGAAATGTCGATCTAAGCCTTACCCTAAGCCCTAACGTAATCAATATCATAACTCTAGTCCTAATCTTAAACCTAATTCCACGACCTTACCCATTTCATAACCCTAATTCTAATCTTAATCGTAGCCCTAAATCAAATTCATACATTAACCAATGTTTAGGTAAGGGTTACTTTTACGTTCAGTTATAACTTATATCGTTTGGTTTTCCTTTTTAGGTATTGGGTCGTTTAAAAACAATTACAACTATATATATATATATATATATATATATATATATATATATATATATATATATATATATATATATATATATATATATATATATACAGGGTTCATTTTGTATTTGTTCTGTTATGTTTTCAAATTTTATTATTAATCCTATCTCTTCAATATTGACATCATATACTTAACCTACTAAACAGCTTGTCATTCTATAGAATGCCTGTAACATGTCGACAAAAACATTTTGAAAAGGAAGCCTGGCATAAATTATATCGTTGTGAAATATTGTGCAGGGCTTCTTTCGGGTATAATAGAATTATATAGCATTATATAGAAAGTATACACTTTTACCAGTGTCCCCGACCCCCCCCCCCCCAAATCCGAAAGTACTCTTCCCCCCCCCCCCTCCACCGGAGAAAAAAGTCTGAAAGAAACACATTGCGTTAATGGCTTCGTCTTCTAGCATGTATTTTTATAAAAAGATGCGGCCCTTTATAACTTTCAATACACACCCAGGCCAAAAATAACTTCTGATCGATGCAGGAGCTTCGATTTGAAAATTGTCTTTAAAAACGGTAACCGACATGGTACCCTTGGGTGGTACTTAGGGGTAGGGTAGGGGGGGTGAGCATGTCTGGGAATAACCAGGGGGATAAAACCCCATCATAAAAAGTGCTGATGGTTTTTATGAAGGGTGGGGGGAGGGTATGTCAAAAACTGTTCAATTCTCAAACGCCCCTCCCGGGCAAAAGGGATAAATCGGATCCTTTGCCCCCGACTATAGAGAGATCTCCTGCTTGAAGAGGAAGGAAATTTTGACTTGTATCATGCGATGGGGTGGTAATTGTATTTCATCTTTGAGCGTGGGAATCGCCGGCTTTTATTTCCTTCACATTCAAATCAATCATAAAGTGCTGAATCGAAAAGTCCCGAGTTCAAACCCCAGGCAGATGAGGCTTGACAGCTGGGGACGGCCACTCATTTAGACGAGACAACTCCAAAATCAACCCATATAAATTAGGGTCCCTAAGACTTGACTGAGTCTTCCCAGCTCTAATGGATACCTGTCTCATGTTAGGGAGTGAAAGGCATCCGAGCACAAAACACGACACCATTACTTCATATGCTGAGGCCACAGAAACAGATGAACTCTACTGTATCTGCTCTATTCAGCAGGTCCTAAATGGTCAATGTATAATGTGGATTGTTTCTTTTAAACAAAATTTATACAGATATCTAAGCATAATTGCGTTCATAGTTTAATTATATATTTTAAAAATTATTTGTATTTTTCTCAGGTTTTAATTTTTTTCGATTTCTGTTTACAAGAATATTTAAAAACGTAGATATTGGTATTTTTTACCCATATTTCTTATTTGATTAAGGGAAAGAATCGAAACTCGTTAACACTTTTTTTTTTCCTTAAAGATCCCACAAGGATCTGGCCACACTTGTTTTGGCTTAAATATTCCCGAAGGATCTGGCAATGTTCAAACATCCTCATCACGTGACGTGCTTATTGCTCCCAGTAAAACCCCTGCTTAGCCAGCGGCGGTTGCCACGTTGCGCATGGCGTGCCAATTATAATATTTTGTGTGCCAAATTTAGAGCCACGTGACAGGCAGAAAGAGAATGTTCCTTAAATGTATTCCGTCGGATAATTTGAAATTTGGTTGCGGAGGATGACAAGCGTGAGATGTGATTAAAATGTGGTTGAGACTTCACGTGAGTTTCAAGAAAACGGTAGAGAGAACAGAGGAATAAAACTGTGAGAAATGAGCTGAACTTTAAGAAGCCATTTCTTCTATGTTGTATTGCGTTTTCTGTTTTTTTTTCTACGTTTAAGCTAACAAAGGATTAAAGTATTCTATGCAAATAAAGGTTTAATCATATGTGTCCCTTTTGTATTGCTTAACACCAATTCTTTTACTAGTCATCATCGTTTCCTATATCTGAAATAGTAAAAGCTACGTATGTAGAAGAATTTAATTATCTATTCTCCGTATCCTATTCAATATCTGAACTTCTTAACACAACATCCCATGTTCCCATCATTCAAGTTCACAACACCCATGTTCCCAACACCCATGTTCCCAACATCCAAGTTCCCAACATCCAAGTTCCCAGCACATGGGTTCCTAACACCCATGTTCCCATCATCCATATTTCCATCTCCCATGTTCCCAACACCCATGTTCCCAACACCCAAGTTCCCAGCATCCAAGTTCCCAGCACATGGGTTTCTAACACCCATGTTCCCAACGTCAACATTTCCATCTCCCATGTTCCCAACACCCATGTTCCCAACACCCAAGTTCCCAGCATCCAAGTTCCCAGCAGATGGGTTTCTAACACCCATGTTCCCAACGTCAACATTTCCATCTCCCATGTTCCCAACATCCAAGTTCCCAACATCCAAGTTCCCAGCACATGGGTTCCTAACACCCATGTTCCCATCATCCATATTTCCATCTCCCATGTTCCCAACACCCATGTTCCCAACACCCAAGTTCCCAGCATCCAAGCACAT